CGCGCGGTCGCGCGCCCGAGCCAGCGAGGCTCGCAGAACCGAGTTCCTCGCCGCGCGGTCATCCAGAGAGATTCGCGCTGCAAGGTTCGCGGGCGTTTAAAAGATGAAGAGCATGACAGATAACGGGGAAAGGAAAGGGGTTAAAGTAATAAAATACAGTAAGATGATTTGATGATTTTCGCGGGGGGGGGGGGGGGGGGGGGGGGGGGGGGCTCGCGCCCGGGCCCGCCGCCTTGCTGGTCGACCAGCTCGACGGGGCGAACCTCGCGTCGCCGGAGATGCCGTTGCGGCGGACGCAGACCATTGAGTTCGCCCACCTCGAGCGGGCGAAAGAAGCGGAGTCGAAGGTATACAGCGCGCGCTTGAGCCTCGAGGAGCAGCGGGCGATCGCGGGCCTCAGCCGAGGCTCAAGCAAGTTCATGGTCTGTCCAGACCTGTCGGACGTAGCGCGCGCCGGCGTGGAGCGGGAGGCACGTGTCAACGAGGCCTCTCAGGTAGGGTTGCGAGGAATTCGAGGCCAACCGCAGGAAAGGGGTCAAGGACTGAGCCCTCTGCATCCGTGCTTTTGACAGGCTGGCCTGCGCTGCGTTGAGGGCGCGACGCGGGCCTCCTAAGACTTCTTCGCCTTCCCCCCCCCCCCTTCCTACGGTCTTCCTCGGGCGAGGCTGGGCGTCGCCGCCAACTTCTGAAGCCTTCAATTATGGTGGCGAGCCCCCCCGTCCTGTTTCCCGCGACGTTTTGCCCTTGCCGCGCGGCGCGGTCGAGGGAGTCGGAGGCGCGGGTCAGGGTTTGTCCCGCGGTGTCCGACAGAAGCTCGGTAAGCGTGAGAGTTTCGAGCTGAGCGGCGATCGAGTGGCCCGGGCTCTGAGCAGTTATGATCTTCGCCGGGCTCGGCTGGCCGTGGGGGCAGGCTCAGATCGCGCAGTTGTTGTTTCCCAGGGCCAGCGCCGCCGCCTCGACCGAACATTGGGCTCGGCGGCTGCCGCGGGGCCGCCTCCGCCAGAGGTGGCCCCCGCAAAGGTTCCGGCGAAGCTTCGCGTGGCGAGCTGGTATGACGTTGACTCTGTTGTGCTCGGTCCCTACAACCTCGCTGGCATCCCATTGCCCTCTGGCGCGCCGTCGCCGGCGCCGCTGGGGGATTTCTGGGGCGCGGGCGGGTCGGATGCGATTCGGGTCTTCGCCCGGCGCCGATTCCTGCCGCCTGGCGAGGCAGAGGCTCATCTTAAGCGCGCCCAGGTGTCGGCGCCTCGCAGTGGCCCCGAGCAGCCCCGCGCTGCGACCTTCGAGGGATTTGCCCGTGCCCTCTACTAGCGCGGCATGGTTGACTTCAGTTTCTCTTGTCAGGGAAGGGTCGAGGCTTTCTTTGCATTCGAGAAATCTGGGGAGCTCCGGCTCGTCGTAGACTGTCGTGGGAGGAATGAGTAAGTATCGCTTCCATGGCCCTGCCTCCGTTTCCCTCCTCGCCGGCGAAGGCCCGGCTGGGCTGGGGCCCGGCGAGGGCGAGGGGCTCTGCGTCGTGGGCGCCGATCTTTCAGAGGCCATCATATGCGGCTGCCTCCCTCGCCCAGGCCTTTCATTTGTTTTGGGGCTGCGCGGGCTGGGGCAGCGGGGCGCGCGAGAGCCGATGGGGGGCCTGTTCCTCCGACGGCCGCTGTGCGCCCCAGACTGGCGGCGACCCCCATGGGCTGGAGTTGGGCTCTCTGGCTGCGTCAGACAGCGCATGGGCGCGTCGTTGAAGAAGACGGAGCGCCCCCCGAGACCCGCTTCGTGGGTGAGCGAGTCGCGCCAGACTTGACTCGAGCGTCCCTCTCACAGTACGTCGACACTTTTATCGCCGTTTCCACCGATGCCGCCGCCGTCAGCGCTCTCGTTGCCGACGCTATCCCCAGAGGTCGCTGGACTTGCTAACTTAGGCCGGCAGAAATCGCATTGTTGTGCGATAGGCCGGATGACTTATGTTGGGCTTGATTAGGCTGGAGTATTGATGTGTATTGATACTATATGCATATATGTGTGTATAAATATTTTTATATATTACACATATATAAGCATGTGTATATTATTATATATACAGATACATATATAGATATGTATCGCAACGAACAACAACCAACAGCCAACACCAACATCCAACCAACAACCAGCAACCACAAACAACAACCAGCAACCAACAACCAGCAACCAAGAACCACGCCAACCAACAACCAACAGCCAACACCACAACCAACAACTAACCAACCAACCAACCAACCAACCAACCAACCAACCAACCAGCGGCGACGGCGACGGGGCGACGGCGGCGATGACGGCGGCGGCGGGCGCCACCGTCGTCGCCGCCGTCGCCTCGTCGCCGCCGTCTCGCCGCCGCGTCGCCGTCGCCCCCGCCGCCGCCGTCGCCGTCGTCGTCGCTGGCCCCCCGCGAGGGTGGCGACGGCCGCCGACGCGCGGCGTGCGACCCGGGTGGCGACGGCCGCCGACGCGCGGCGTGCGACCCGCCGACGCTTCTAGGCGCCGAGGGCTGCGGGACCTCCTCGGGCGGCTGGGCGGGGCGGGGGCCTCGGCGCAACGCCGCCGAAGGGCGGCGAGGGGCGCCAGCGGCGCAGGCCAGAGGGGCAAGGGGAAGGAGGAGGCGAGGGGAGGAGAAAGTGGAGGCGCAGGGGGGGGGGGGGGG